TATATATAATCCTTATTTAATTTTAAAGAATTAACAACTGTTATGACAAATTTTAAAAGCATTAATTTGAAATCAATGTTGAAAAACCTTTTATTCTGAACCACTGAAGCCCCCACTTTGCAGTGATAAATCTGCCATATTGACTACATGGTGGTATCTTTTCCAGGTCTTGAAAGAGGAGAAGAACAGTTAAGAGGTACAGTTAGGATAACACTGCTATTATTTGTCCTGACTGAAGGAACAATGTTACTTCTTGCCATTGTTCCCGTGTCTGACCTTTTCTGGCTCAGCCTTGTGTGTTCTATCGTTAGGAGAAATGTGGCTGAGGACAAGCCTGGTGCTCTGCACTGGTTACAGCAAGACTACCAAGGTACACACTTTAACAACCAGTGACCTACCAAATACTTGGTTAAATTTTCACACTTGGGTAGAGCCAAATGCTTTCCTATTTGATACAACTTTCTGATTTGTGGGTTATATATGTGGGTTTACTATATCCCATGATGAGAAAGGCCTACAAAGAGTTTTCTAGAGTAGATAAATACTTTCCTTGTCTATATGAGAGAGAAGACTATTTCCTCATCCCTGCAAACCTCAGAATACTTTGTTTTGCTCTTTAAGAGCCCTGGGATAAGTAAAATTAAGTTTCAGTAATAGGTTATATCATGGATATATCTAAAAATGACTAGATAATTGTAATCATTTTCTAAATGTAAAAAAATGTTGTACACGGTATATATGTACATCAATTTAAAATAAAACTTTACTATTTTACATTGTCATTTTAATTAGTGGTCAAAGCCAAAAGCTTGCATGTCTTTGGGAAAATAATGCTAAAGATGATTGCTGTTCAATTGGTTTCTTTTTATATATGAGCTTTCTGGCTTTGGGATTATAATGCTGCCATAGATAACTGGTTGGCCCGCATTCTTCTCTGTGTTTGGTCTGTTTTATGTACCTTGCAGGGGTTGATCAGTATACTATTCAAATTAAGTGACTCTGGACTACTGCAGGGACTGGTTAGTCTGTTGGTAATTAGGGTACATAAAACCACCCAGTAGATTGAGTGACTTGCTTATATATAAGCAGCCAACCCAACAGAGGTTTTGAAAGAGAGATATTTAGAAAGAGAAATGAAGGAGCTGTAACCCTAAAGATCCAAGTGACAACACAAGATGGCGCAAATGGCAGTGGCATGAGCAGCACAACAAGGAGACTGGTGCAAGGTGACTGCAGTGGGCTTGCTGACCCACAAAGTGTAGTAGAGCTGAGTGTCCTCAGCCAAGGGGCTTGCTGACAGAGTGGGGTGCCTAGTTAAATACTCTCAATACAAAATGTTAGCCTTAAAGATGTAGATTAAAAAAATGTAATTCATAATTTAGTCCCAGACAAGACATGAATACACGTAAAAGCTAAATAAAGACACAAGAAAATACAACGTAATTTTGCAAAATAGGACATGATTAATTGTTAAATAAGTCAAGAGATGCTACAATTTGAATTCAAACAACACAGTGACCATGAATTGCATTGGTCTGAGGAGACTTTATAGAGAAAGATGAACTTCTGTGTAACCTTCGAGCATAGGGAGAAATTTGACATGAAGAGAGGAGATACAGAACCATTTTATGGGAGATTATTTCCTTCTCGTACAATGAGACTAGAACCAGTTGCCAACTACATGACCTACATGAATTCCTGATCAGCAGCCAATTTGTATCTCTGTTGTTTGTACAGAAACTTGCCTGGGGCCAACACTGGGGCTGCCTCCCAATCAAGCTATCATCCGGAGTGAACAATCCAGGTTAACATGGATCAGTTCCACTGTGGCCCAAATTGGCTTTTTCTATAAGTGAAGAGTGGTAGAAATTATGGCATTTAGCACAAATTTGACCTAAAATGAGGGCAAAGCTTGGCACTGAGGAAAACTTCATTTAGTGTCTCCAGTAGACTAAGGAATTTGACATATAAGCCGAATATGAAAGACTCCGTTTAATATGAGCTGAACATTTGCATTAGGTTGATACATTCCTTGGAGAGAGAAACCATGGGAGAATAGAAGGTCTGTGTAGCCTCAGGGAGACAGCTGGGGGGCAGGAGTGCATGGGAGGGAAGGACACAGGGAAGAGGTAACTATGGGGAGGAAGTGGGACGGGAGCATTTATTGCACTGTGAAAAATTGCAGTCAATGTCATGAGACAATGTGTATGTGAACTGCTGTATAAAAATGGATTTGCTCTGCAAACTTTCCCAAACCACAATAAATATTTTTTTTTTAAAAAAGGAAAGACTCTGCCTATAAACTTCTTTTTCAAATGAATTTTAGTTATTTGCTATAACATAAAGCACTATCGATATATAAAATTATGTTTTATTTGGTTCTGTTCCTCTTTTAATTACTATGTGTTTTCTCAGTCCTAAAATCATATGACCTTGATAGTCTATGCTTGGTACAGCATGCATAACACCACAAAGAGGAAAATAAAAGCCTTGAGAAGGTTTCCTTTTCTAAGAACTATGTCAAGAAAATAATCAAGGAAGGATCAGAAAGTTGACAAGTTTAGCAGTATTTTCATTCCTGTATAATGATTAATGGTCTTGTCAGTTCTAAAGAGGAAGAAAATGCCAGGAGATTGCAGAGTTTCAGGAAATGTGACTGACTCTAAGTCATTATCACAGTGTCACGAGTTACCCACAAGAGCCATGGGGTCTTTTAAATACAGAAATTAAATGTCACCCCTAGAGCTCTTCATGAGGAGACAAGGGACTGGGAAGTATAAGGGAAAGAATTAAAATTCACTCACAGTCTGCTGGCGTAGTGCCTAAGACATTTGACTGCTAACCAGAAGGCTGGTAGTTCAAACCCACCAGCCGCTCCATGTAAGGAAGATTGGGCAATCTACTTCCATAGAGATACTACCTTGGATGCCCAAGGAGGGGTCGCTATGAGTCAATCAACTCAACAGCAGTGAGGGTTTTTTTTTTTTTTTTTTGGATACTCTTGAAAATCTAAACTCATTGCTGTGGAGTCATTTCCGACTCAGTGAAGAGATAAGACAGGGTAGAACTGTCCCATAGAGTTTCCAAGGCCTGCAAATCTTTACAACAATAGCACCATCAGGGCTCCTTACTACCCATGGAGTGCTCTTTAATGAAGAATCTAAAGCACGTGGTGTTGCGGACCAGAGCCTCAGTTTATAGATGAGGAAGTCATGTGCAGAGAAATTTTGTGATGTGCAGGGATGACAGCTAGTTACTGACTGAGGAAAATCTATGACTAATATTCATTACAATTTGAAGTGAAAAGTGGGTTAGAGTGGTAGAA